GGACCATTCTGGAAGAAAACCTGATGGAGTCTGCAAAAGACCTGAGACTGGGACGGAGATTAGTCTTCCAACAAGACAATGATCCAAAACATAAAGCAAAATCTACACTGGAATGGTTCACAAATAAACATATCCAGGTGTTAGAATGGCCAAGTCAAAGTCCAGACCTGAATCCAATCGAGAATCTGTGGAAAGAACTGAAAACTGCTGTTCACAAACGCTCTCCATCCAACCTCACTGAACTCGAGCTGTTTTGCAAGGAGGAATGGGCAAAAATTTCAGTCTCTCGATGTGCAAAACTGATAGAGACGTACCCCAAGCGACTTACAGCTGTAATCGCAGCAAAAGGTGGCGCTACAAAGTATTAACTTAAGGGGGCTGAATGATTTTGCACGCCCAATTTTTCAGTTTTTTATTTGTTAAAAAAGTTTGAAATATCCAATAAATTTTGTTCCACTTCATGATTGTGTCCCACTTGTTGTTGGTTCTTAACAAAAAATTACAGTTTTATATCTCTGTTTGAAGCCTGCAATGTGGCAAAAGGTTGAAAAGTTCAAGGGGGCCAATTGGTTTCTTGAACATGACAATGAGTTCACTGTACTAAAATGGCCCCCACAGTCACCAGATCTCAACCAAATAGAGCATCTTTGGGATGTGGTGGAACGGGAGCTTCGTGCCCTGGATGAACATTTCTAAAGAATGCTTTCAGCACCTTGCTGAATCAATGCCACGTAGAATTAAGGCAGTTCTGAAGGCGAAAGGGGGGCAAACACAGTATTAGTATGGTGTTCCATGTATGTATGTATGTATACAGTGAGGAAAATAAGTATTTGAACACCATGCTATTTTGCAAGTTCTCCCACTTAGAAATCATGGAGGGTCTGAAATTGTCATCGTAGGTGCATGTCCACTGTGAGAGACATAATCTAAAAAAGAAAAATCCAGAAATCACAATGTATGATTTTTTTAACTATTTATTTGTATGATACAGCTGCAAATAAGTATTTGAACACCTGAGAAAATCAATGTTAATATTTGGTACAGTAGCCTTTGTTTGCAATTACAGAGGTCAAACGTTTCCTGTAGTTTTTCACCAGGTTTGAACACACTGCAGGAGGGATTTTGGCCCACTCCTCCACACAGATCTTCTCTAGATCAGTCAGGTTTCTGGGCTGTCGCTGAGAAACATGGAGTTTGAGCTCCCTCCAAAGAGTCTATTGGGTTTAGGTCTGGAGACTGGCTAGGCCACGCCAGAACCTTGATATGCTTCTTACAGAGCCACTCCTTGGTTATCCTGGCTGTGTGCTTCAGGTCATTGTCATGTTGGAAGACCCAGCCTCGACCCATCTTCAATGCTCTAACTGAGGGAAGGAGGTTGCAATACATGGCCCCGGTCATCCTCTCCTTAATACAGTGCAGTCGCCCTGTCCCATGTGCAGAAAAACACCCCCAAAGCATGATGCTACCACCCCCATGCTTCACAGTAGGGATGGTACTCATCATTCTTCTTCCTCCAAACACGGTTAGTGGAATTATGACCAAAAAGTTCTATTTTGGTCTCATCTGACCACATGACTTTCTCCCATGACTCCTCTGGATCATCCAAATGGTCATTGGCAAACTGAAGACGGGCCTTGACATGTGCTGGTTTAAGCAGTGGAACCTTCCGTGCCATGCGTGATTTCAAACCATGACGTCTTAGTGTATTACCAACAGTAACCTTGGAAACGGTGGTCCCAGCTCTTTTCAGGTCATTGACCGGCTCCTCCCGTGTAGTTCTGGGCTGATTTCTCACCTTTCTTAGGATCATTGAGACCCCACGAGGTGAGATCTTGCATGGAGCCCCAGTCCGAGGGAGATTGACAGTCATGTTTAGCTTCTTCCATTTTCTAATGATTGCTCCAACAGTGGACCTTTTTTCACCAAGCTGCTTGGCAATTTCCCCGTAGCCCTTTCCAGCCTTGTGGAGGTGTACAATTTTGTCTCTAGTGTCTTTGGACAGCTCTTTGGTCTTGGCCATGTTAGTAGTTGGATTCTTACTGATTGTATGGGGTGGACAGGTGTCTTTATGCAGCTGACGACCTCAAACAGGTGCATCTAATTTAGGATAATAAATGGAGCGGAGGTGGACATTTTGAAGGCAGACTAACAGGTCTTTGAGAGTCAGAATTCTAGCTGATAGACAGGTGTTCAAATACTTATTTGCAGCTGTATCATACAAATAAATAGTTAAAAAATCATACATTGTGATTTCTGGATTTTTTTTTATAGATTATGTCTCTCACAGTGGACATGCACCTACGATGACAATTTCAGACCCCTCCATGATTTCTGAGTGGGAGAACTTGCAAAATAGCAGGGTGTTCAAATACTTATTTTCCTCACTGGATATATATAATATAAAAAGAAAGAAATTTGTATCAAATGTAAAAACAAAACAATTACTAAAATATCAAGCAATCATCATAATAATAATAATAATAATAATAATTTGAAAATTTGTACAATTTATCAGTCTGAGTTTCCACTGGTTGTCCTTACTTCATGGCATGAGGAGACATATTTTGCAGTAATTATTTGACATTTGGGCATTTCTTCTAGTAAATAGGGGAGTTTCTGTGTGTCTGATATCATTTCTATTTCGGGGTATATTTGGGAAATGTTTGCAAAGTGTTTTTCTCTTAATGTTTAATATTTGGGACATGAGGTTAGAAAGTGCAGCTCTGTCTCTACCTGTCACACTGGGAGCAGAGTCTCTCCTCTTGTGGTAGCCAACTCTGTCTGTGGCGACCCTTTTCTATGGCCAGGTTGTGTCTGTGTGTTGTCAACATTTTATTGTGTTCAGGTAATTTGCCAGTGTGAATTCTCTTTTTAAGAATAGATAACATTGTGATTTACTTTGTGTTTTGGTCGTTTCTTTCCAGTATTCAATATATTTTTCTTTCTGCTTGTTGATAATTTGGTTTGTTCTGCTTGAGTTGGTGATGATATGTCTGGGGGTTAACTGATTTTAAGTGATTGTAAAATTTAATAGATTTTTTCTATATTTTTAGTAAGAGGGGGTATTGGCCGAGCTCTGTTCTGCACAGTTTATTTGGTGTCTTTCTCTGCACCGGCAGGTTGCTCTTATAGAACGTCCCATTTGTCAAATTCATTATTTAGTTTTGGCCCCCAAATTTTGCTACCATGTAAAATTATTGGTTCTAGTACAAACTGGAAAATTTTAAGCCAGATTTCAATTGGAATATAATGTTTCGTTTTATTGCATAGAAAGCTCTCCTTGCTTTGTCCCTCAGATCTTTCACAGCCACGTTGAGGTTTCCTGTGTATGTAATGTTAAGGCCAAGGTAAGTGTAGTTTTTTTTATGTTGTAATTTAGTTGTGTCTAAATAGAAATTGTGTGTAACCTGATTTCTGTATTATGTATTGTTATAGAAAAGGCCCTCGTGCCAGATGGAATCAAAGGCTTTTTGGAAGTCAACAAAACAGGCATATACCTTTCTTTTCACAATGTTTAATTCTTGATCAATTAAAGTCTGGAGGGTAAGTATATGGTCTGTTGTGCGGCAATTTGGCAAAAAAACAATTTGGCATTTATGCAGAATATTGTTGTCATCAAGAAAGTTGACAAGTCGTTTATTAATGATGTTGCAGAATACTTTTCCCAGGTTACTGGATACACATATTCCTCTGTAGTTATTTGGGTCATATTTATCTCCGGATTTATGAATTGGGGTTATTAAACCTTTGTGCCAGATGTCTGGAAAAGTTCCAGTTGCTAGAATAGTATTGAATAGTTTTAGTATAGCCAATCTGATTTTATGGTTTGAGTATTTGATCATTTCGTTGACGATACCATCAGTACCACAAGCCTTTTTTCCTTTCAGGGACTGAATGACTTCTGTTAATTCTTGTTCTGTTACAGGGTAATCTAGAGGGTTTAGGTTGTTTTTTTTTTATCACCGCCTCCAGAGTTTTCCATTTTGTGAATATATTGTACTGATCATCAATTTTTGTAATATTACTGTATAATTCAAGTGATTTAATCAAATCCATCTTGGATCGCCAATTCATCCTGCTGGGTTTTATTTAGGTTGTTCCATTTCTCCCAGAACTGGTTGGACTCTAAGGTTTCCTCAGTTTCACAGAGCTGGTTCTTGCTGTGTTGTTCTTTCTTAGTTTTTAGGGTGTACTTGTATTGTTTCAGAGTGGCCTCATATTGACAGTGTCAAACCATTTGTTACCGTTCATTTGTTGAGGTTTTGGTTTGGAGGCTTTCAAATTAGACAATAAAGCCAAATGATGAAATATTAGATTGATTTACACAGTAGAATTTACACCAGAATTATTCTGGTGTAAATGTGTCAGTTAGAAATAAATTAGTTAAATCATGTATGTTTTGATTTTCAAGTGCCTTTTGGTACGCCCCCATGCTGTCTGGGGTCCATCTGTATGAGTATGTGCTGTTAAACAGTTCACAGGCACTAGGGGCTCCAGACTTGGAGCCCTTTTTGCCAAAAGCTGAGCTGTAAGTGTAGCGACCCAGAGAGTCCCCTCTTAGTCTCTCTCTCTCTCTGTCTCTCTCTGTCTCTCTGTGTCTGTCCGCCCTTCATGAATGGTGTTTAGGAAACAGAGTGAACAGGAAAGGCAGAGCAGACAGGGAAGAATAGAGGGATATCCCCTTACAGGGTTCCCTCCTTTTTCCTCCAGGATAGAGGGGTTGAGAACTTCGGAAAGGGTGTGGGGGTTGGTAAATCACACCACCTGTCCGCACACACACAAACATGAACCTGTGTGCATGCATTCCAAAAATCAAATACAATCCTGTCTTCTCTCTTTCTCCCCGTGTGTGTGTGTGTGTGTGTGTGTGTGTGTGTGTGTGTGTGTGTGTGGCGCGCGGCAAGAGACCCTCAGATTAGCCCTATGTGGCCCAGATTACAACGGGATCAGTGCTGCCACATATTACACAAGCCTGTGAACCATCAGTGACACAGTGGGCCAGCCTTGGCTTAAGGGGCTGAAACCCCCATTTAATTACACTCTAGCAAAGAGGAAAAGTACAGTATCTAAGTCACACAAGCTGTTTATTTACACTGTGGTGAGAATCGTGCATGCAATCTTGAAAAGAAAAAGAAGGGGAAAATGCATGTTTTGTCAAGAGGGTGGTGTAGTAGGGTTTTAGTTTTCAGGCCCTGTGTCACATTGGCTTTCCACAAACAAATGTGACATTTATAGGCTCTGCTTTACCATCAGCACTTGTCCACCTAGTGGCTGCAGATGGAAACGCCTCTCCAGCAGGGGGAAAAACACCCCTCCATCTGACAGCAGAGAATTAGACCTTTGAAAATGCTCCTCTGTCTGATATGTATTGTCTCCTTATAGAAAGCCATATTTTTCTAGGCAGGTTTTTGATTTTGTAATGCCAATGTCTAGACAGTAGATGACAATTTCTTCTTTTTCTTTTTCCTGTTTGATCCAAGGTGCCACCAGGGACGTTGGCTCAGCTCTGACAAGGATGTGTATGCGACACCGCAGCATTGAGACAAAATTACGCCACTTTACCAAGTAAGTGTCACCTGTCTTCCACTCACACACTCCCCACCTCAATTTTCTCTTCTTTCTTTACTCTTCTCTTGCCTTGAGTGGGGATTATTGTGTTCCCAGGTCCTGGCCTATCTCTGTTGACCCTCTTCTCATTCTGCCTCTCTTCACTGAGTGCTTTTGTGCCATGGAAAAAACAACAATTTGTTTTGGCCCTCATTCTCTTGCTGTCTCTTCTCATGTTGTGTCTCCTCGTTGCTGTAGTGCTCTTATGGAAGGCCTGGTTACGCCACTCCAGGACAGGATAGAGGAATGGAAGAAGACAGCTAATCAGCTGGACAAAGACCATGCCAAAGGTGAACAACCAGGAAACACAATACCTGTTTGTGAGCACTGTACATGGGACAGAAATTGATACATCTTTGGTTTTGACTTGCTCTCCACAGAATACAAGCGGTCTCGTCAGGAAATCAAAAGGAAGTCGCTAGATACCATAAAACTTCAGAAAAAAGCAAGAAAAGGTGAGAAAACTTTCTCCAGTAACCCTTTTGATTAATAAAATCTGTGATAAAACACCTAAACTGAGATTTTAGGAGCAATATTAATGAAGTCTGCTTGGCTGCTGTTCCCTGCTTTGGTACCAATGGTTCAGATTGAACTGGCGCCATCTCCAGCATAGAATCAGAAATGACAACTCTTTAAAATCACAATTTCACAATTTCACACTTTCTAGCTTTGGATGATTTTGCTTCTAACCATAAATCAAAGAAATGACCTTCTTTCCTGGCTGTGCTTGGATTAGCTCCTACTGCTGGTTGTAATTAAACTCCTATTTTCATGCAGGACTTGTACACCAGTGGGACGGGCTAGCCATATACATGCAATGTGCCCTGATATGATACAGCTAACACTGCCTCTTCTTATGTCTCTCCTCCCCCTGCCTGTTCTGCAACCCCTCCTCTATTTCTTTCTGGCTATTTACCCTGGCTGTAGAGCTTCTAGGTATGTCTGCTGAGATCTGCCCTGTATGATAACTTCATGAGACAGTTTTCAGAAGGCATTGTAATCATTTTTACACCAAACTGCCAATGAAAGAAAACCCTTTGCTGTGTTAGCATTTTTGGTTTAAGGAATAGTTTGACATGTTGGGAAATACGCTTAATCCTTTTCTTGCTGAGAGTAAGATGAGAAGATTGACACCCCTCTCATGTTGCTAGATATGAAGCTACCACCAGCAGCCAGTTAGCTTAGTTTAGCACCAAGGCTTGAAACGGGGGGAACAGCTAGCTTAGCTTTGTCCAAATGCAACAAAAGCCACCCCCAGCTTCTCGTGAGTAGTGTAAAGATTACACATTGTTGTGTTACAGATTAGCTAGCTAGCTCTCTGTTTCCCCCTGTTTCTAGTCTTTGTGCTAAGTAGCTGCTGTGGTAGCTTTATTCTATAATCCAAATCTCAAGCGATGCACTCATTGTAAGCATCCTTACATTAAATGATGTAAGTAATACATGGCTGTAAGTGAATAGGCCCAGGTCATAGCAGGAAAAGCACATTATGGGACCCTTGATTTAATCAGTGCCTCTATTAAATGAAGGTGCACTGAATTAAGCTGATATGTATTAAACATATAGACAGTGGTATGGCAAATATACACTGTGCTGCCTGCTAAAGTGGAGTGCTGTTAGAGTGATTATGATCTAGGCAGCTGCTAAGAACATAGCAAGACACAAGTCTGAATGTTTATTTTCAAGTTGTGAGGTGGTTGCCGTGTGCACATTGTTTGAGATTGAACCAAAAATACTAAGACATTGTGGTGTGTTTAAAAACTTGAAACTGGCAGCATATGTCTGTGTAAATCATGCAATCAGATAACACAAATGGCATCTTCATCGCATCCTCCTTTAAACCTTTTGCCCTTTTTCATCATCATCTAGTCATTGTAGTATGCGGTCTTGAATGACTCTTGGACATTCTGTTTACTTTCATGTGTCTAATCACATCCATCTCACGACCTACAAGTCCCCACCAGTTGCTTTGCATCAACTCATTATTGATGACATGTTTCCGTTTCCCCTCATTCCAATGTACACGAACCATTTGAGTGTAATGCTTGTTAGTGCGTTGACCTCTAGTACACAAGACGTTTATCATTGTTTGCTCTAATCATCTGTCATTTTTTACTCCCTCCTCCCTGTGCTGTGTACTCTTTTCTTCCTTCCATAATAATTACCCGCCCCTCAAATTCCCAATCTCTTTTCACTCCTCCTCCTCCTCCTCTCCTCCCTTTCATCGTCACTTCTGTGTGTCTGCGCCCTTGCTTTGCCTTGCACAGGCCGGGGTAACCTGCGCCCCCAGCTGGACAGTGCCATGCAGGATGTCAGTGACTTATACCTGCTGATGGAGGAAACGGAGAAGCAGGCAGTGCGCAGAGCCCTCCTGGAAGAGAGAGGCCGTTACTGTACATTCATTAACCTGCTGCAGCCTGTGGTGGTGAGAGGCATTAAGGGTTGTAAAAAATTACTTTGAATAGCACTGATGTAAAAAGATGGTTTACTTTGCTTGCTCTTGCTGTTGATGTGGTAGCTGTTTAATCCTATCCATCCCGTTTCCCCCTCCAGAATGTAGAGATTGCCATGCTGGGAGAGATAACACATTTGCAGGCCATTGTTGATGACCTCACTGTGCTGACTGAGGACCCACACAAGCTGCCACCCGCCAGTGAGCAGGTAACAGAGGTGTACTACTACTACTGCTGCACTGACTCCCCCAGAGATGGTCACTGTTGTTAACTGTTAAATGATAAGTCTAGTGATATTTTTTATTTGTCATATTAGCAACACAAAGACCAAAACCAACATCTTATTAATTCCACTAACAGGTATTTTCTGTGTAAAATGGGCACTGTAGTTTATTTTGAGTTGATGAAACACACTTAAGGTACATGCCCATCTGCTGTAAATACTTCCTAGTGCACCATGTGGGTATCAGTCCGCTAGTAAAAATAGTCCCCAACACATCACACTATTTATTATTTACCCCTGTTTGAGTACTATTCGCTTAAAACTACAGTGCCCAGCTGTTTTATGTAGGTAGGTAGGTTTATTGTCACAATATAACAAGTTATAGAGTGAAATTGAGTTTTGTAACTCCCCTCTGCTACTTCGCAGACAATATACATTAATAAAGAATCAATTATTAAAAATGTTAAACAGACATATACTATCATCACTGGAGTAGTGCTGAGGATGAATTACAGTTTAAGACTTTGATAGCTTGGGGGAAAAAGCTGGTCTGCAGTCTGGTGGTGTGGCAGCAGAAACTTCTATATCTCTTCCCAGAAGGCAGCAGGGTGAACAGGCTGTGGCTGGGTGAGTCCTGTCCTTCAGTATCCTTATCAATATCACTGAGGCTCAGGAGATGGGTACCAATGATCCTCTGAGTAGTTTTAATCACCCGCTGCAGAGCCCTCCGGTCCTGGGCCATGCACACATGCCAGTTTATGATGTTTCCAGTCAGGATGCTTTTTTCTGCTCCTCTGTTAAAGCTGGCAAGAACTTGACACGGGAATTTGGCCTTCTTAAGCTTCCTCAAGAAATACAGTCGCTTCTGAGCTTTCTTCACCACGATTTTGTTTTAGGACATTATATAGCATTGTCTAACAAATGAAACCAATATCTGTGACTTATTTTTAAAGATTTATGTCTTCAGTAGGAACAAATGGGCTTAGGGCCGAGCTTATCAAAAGTATTGTCTTTTCATTAAATGTGCAGGCTCTAAAAGCGATTTAGCCCAGGTCTATTGTTGTTAACATTTGGTTATGTGTTGCCAGGTGATCCGGGACCTGAAAGGCTCCGACTATAGCTGGTCCTACCAGACCCCTCCTTCTTCCCCGAGCAGCACCGGCTCCAGGAAGAGCAGCATGTGCAGGTATATTCTACACACACACACACTCATGTACACACACAGTTGCTCTTCAGTTCGGTTCTGGGCAATGCAATGCTATGTGCTGATCCTACATTAAGAAGTGATATGTTTCGTTGTCATGGCTTATTTTAGTCTCGCTGGATCTGAGCCGTCAGGCTGTTTTGAGCAAATATGCACATTCTTGATTTCAACCCTCTTATACAACATAACAGCAAAGGATTGAACTATAAAAGGAATACACAAGCAGGAGATCCCCCCACTCCCCTTCACCACACAGCCAGACTAACAGTGACAACATGCAGTACATGACGTATCTTGCCAGCTTCTCAGCTCTTGCTCCTAGCAGATTTGCAGTTCCCGAGCTCCTTATAGCCAGATTAGGACCAAAGCTGTGAAACATCACATCCTGACAGCCATGAGCCTAGACGAGTGCCAAAATGCACATATTCTTAAGGCTAATGGTGATAGTTCAAATGTGGGTCAAAGGTGCAGTCTAGGTCAGTTGTAAGTTGAGTTTAAAGAACATCAAACCTTGTTATCACAAGTCATCACTTTGCTTTAGTGTGACAGTTCCTAACCAAACCTCCCTGATTTCTGTACCAATTAACACTGCAGCCTTTTTATATTTATTCACAATGCAGTGTATGACGTGTGTTACGTGATCTGTGTGACGGTTGTAAACTACAGTTAGTGTGATCATTCAGCTTAAAATAAGACTAGTCCATAAATCTTATATCTTGTAAATGTCAGCTTTTTCTGGAACTTAGAGAAACAATTCTAGTTTCAGCTTAATGGCTGTAGGTTTTTCAGCTGATCCAATGAGTCTGTAAAAGGTTTTTGATAAGCTGAAGGTCATAGACTATCTCTCTGCTAGTAGAGAAGCATGTCAGTTGTGTGTAAAAAATTAAATTCACTGAGACTGGTGTTACAGGATTTTCAGTTAAAAAGTAAAACACAGTAGTAAAGAGGCAATGGACTCGGCAGCATGATAGAAGAAAAACAAGTTTACTGAGGAGAGCGAGAGAGGAGGAAACATTGCAGTTATGAATCTTGTTAGGTTATTTAATTTGTCATATTTCATTTGGTATTCCTCCTTAAGCCTCACACTAGAGGATGAAGATTAAGGAGAAATGATAACTTTAGATTGATTCCAGAGGGAGAGGGGGAGGAGGAGGTGTGGGAGAGCAGTACAGAGGGAAGGTGAGAAGACTAAGTTGCTCATTTTTAGATGCGTGGATGACAGAGAGAAGCAACGCTGAGTGAGGATGACAGAGCATGAGACAAAAAGCATGAAGACAGCTGTTGATGTTCAGTTGATGTTCAGAAGGAAAGAAAAATCAAAGCGATAACTTTTTAATGCTCTTTGATGCAGCAAAATTAGAAGAAAGGCATGATTTAGAATCTTCACATAACACTGCCTTCATGTTCTCAGCTTTTGTGATAAATTTTTCATTTAGCCACGGCCTACACATAAATCCGCCCAAAACAAGTTTCAGAACAAAATAAGGGGGGGAAATACTAGAATATTGATCACAATCCTGTTTTACATGAATACTGTATGTTTTTTTTTGGAAGATTTACAATGCCTAAATGAAAACGAATCAAGCAAGGGAAGAAAATGAAGTAAAATACATACCTTTTCATGTATGCATTTACTGTGTCATTATTAAATGAAAAAACACATGTTAAAAGGAAATTTAATTAGCCTTGTAACATTTATGATTGAGAATTCTCAAAACAGCTGACAGTCAGTCACAAATGTAACAAAATATATGGTATAACAGTTTTGTCCCTCTGGACCTGCTACCCCACAGGGGGCTCTTTTAAGGTGAAAGGATGTCAGTCATGGCTGCCATCTTTTTGAGTCAGCAATGATAAGGTCCACCCATGGTCGTACCCCCTGTGTTTGGTCAGTTTATTGTATTTAATTTAAGAATGGATGATTTATTTCTTTTCTAGCAAGCTCCCTTAATCTCCTCTTAATGAAAACTAATGACTTAGTATTGGCAGATCTGTGCTCCCCTCTGCTGGACAACACGGGAATGCAATACACCTCTTCACTGTGTTTTCTGTGTTATCATTTGATTTCTATGTCACAAAGTCATGTCACAATATTTAAAAAATAATAATAAATGGATTTGGTTTTTAAAGATAAACGGCTGAATCATTTACATTTAACATGTTTTTAATTCAATTATGACAGTAAAGGCATACATGCAAAGTAATCGACTTAATGTGTTAATGTTTATTGTATTTCACTTTTTTCCTTGTTCCATTTTAAGACTTCCATATTTATTGAGTTACATACTGACCTGATCTCCTGTCAACAGTCTCCTTCAGATGCCCTCTGCAGGAGCCCATCGGCTCAGCAGCGTCTCTTCTCACGACTCAGGCTTTGTGTCCCAGGACGCCAACACCCACTCTAAGCCTCCATCGCCCATGCCCTCTGACATCGCTAGCCAGGTAGCAGTCTCAGCCATAATACTAAAGTTCATTCTTTGGTCTGGAGGAAAGAAGGGCATGTATCGCAGCATAACCAGGAACAAAGCAGTCGTGTTGGCTCTGGAGATTCCTCAGGCAGTAATGCTGCAGGGCAGGAGGATACGGACACAACGCCACTTTCTTGTCACAGTAGATCTACAACGAATCTCTCTTTTTAACAGCAATCCTTTGCCATCTGGCACGTTCAATCTTCTCATGTTTCCATTTCAGACATAAACCCATAACTTCAATAAGAGCTCGATAACCAAACTCAGGCAGAGCTGTCTGATTTTTTAAATTTATTTATTTATTTTTTTTACTGCAAAAGAGCTGCGAATGTTGAATTTTTATCCCTGTGGTCTGATAGTTATTCACACTCTCACGGTCTGCACAGATATCAGTGTACATACAGAATACACTCAGCAGCACATCAGCACACCAACTGATGCAATGTTCTGTTCTGAATAAATGATCTTACAGGCTACTTTATTTTTGATCTAGGCTGTGGTCTATAGAGCCCTCAGAGACAAAAACACCTCCCTCCTCCTAAAGCTCATCAACACTCTTCTCCAACCCTCACCCTCCTCCTATGCATCTCTCACACCTACCTCTCTCTCTCCATTTCGTCTTCCCCTCCACTGTTTTTACCCCATCTCCCCTTCCCCAGAAATCAACCAGCTCAGCCTCCTCTGAGGCTTCAGAAACCTGCCAGTCTGTCAGCGAGTGCAACTCTCCTACAGCGGTTAGTACTGCATGCATCTCACCAATCTACTTAATTTATTAGGCACACACACTACCCCACACACACACACACACACACACACACACACACACTATGTGTTGTGTATTTCACCATTATTATCTTTAGTTTAAAGAGTCCTGTGGGCTCTTTTCGACAGCTGCAGTACGGTTTGACGTGGACTATTCATGAATGTTGAGCACTCTGACTCAGACTTGTCTGTCCGTTCCGCAGTTTGGCTCATGCTCATCCTTCGGTACCTTTCGCCCTGCTTTCTCTCACACTGGCACCATCAGGCCTCTCTCTGTCATACTTCCTGCGTCCCCCACATTTAACCACTCCCCTGGATCCAACACCCCCTCACCCACATCAAAGGTTCCTAGCTGGAAGGTTTGTTTTCGTTTGCAATTTTACTTTTAGCTCTTATGCTTTTTTGCTCCTTGTGTTTTTTTGGCCTTCATGCACATTAATGGACGTAAGGATTAACCTCACAGTCACCATTTTGCTGTTGCTCATCAAGCTCAGTTTTCAGCTTTCCACACAAAGATGTGCTAAACTTATATGGCTCTGTCATTTAACAACACTATCATAGTCGAATGTATTCTGCCCACATCTACATCGGCATCTAACCAGTTCATGAGCCAAATCCGCAGCTTCCATGTTTAACTGACTGCACGACTGTTGGATGGCAAACACTGGAGATGCACGGTTGGAAGACATTCTCATTGTTCCGTCTGCTGCCGCAGGATTGGGCCAAACTGAGTTCCTACGAGCCATCATTGGCCAGCACTCTGCATCGTCGGAGGGAGTCTATGGATAAGATGAGAGACCTGGAAGCTCCGCCCAGTCCACTGGGGTATTCTGGGATGCAACCAGATGATCCCCATCGAGCAAGAATTGGCCCAGGATCCACAGCAGCCAAGGTAAGAGCAAACAGTCAATGTGCACATTTGCATGCCTTGAGTATTGTAGTGTGCTGAATTGCATGTGTAAATGTTTGCTAATCTTTATGTATTTCCTACGTGTGTGTGTGTGTGTGTGTGTGTGTGTGTGTGTGTGTGTGTGCTTCAGCATGGCGAGCCGCTCTCTCCAGCAGCCAGTACTCTAGCTATGGTTTTGACCAGGGGCTTGAGTATGGAGCAGCAGAAGAGCAGCAGGGACTCTCTGCAGTACTCCAGCGGCTACAGCACCCAGACCAACACCCCGTCTTGCTCTGAGGACACCATACCCTCACAAGGTAACACTCACCCTTAACAGCCACACAGTCCTTAAGGATAAAGCACACAGTAGCACAGAATTTCTGAATGCCCCTGTTTTTTTCCCATGTAGTTTTGATTGGAATATTTGCGTTTTATGCAGCAGTATAGGAAAGTGCATTATTACTTGCCTTCATTGCTGGCCTGATTACTGTAAGTTATTTTGTAATAAAGCTCAACGGCTGCAAAATAACTCTTCAGAAATAGATGCTCATGACTCACTGTCACTTCTAGGTTCTGATTATGAGTGCTACTCTCTAAATGGGGATGCTGACAGTGAAGGACAGGCAGACTTTGACAAGTCCTCCACCATCCCACGCCACAGTAACATTGCTCAGAGCTACCGCCGCATGATCCAAACCAAGAGGCCGGCCAGTACTGCAGGCCTGCCTGCGGGTAAGACCCTGCAGGGAGCTCAAAACGGTGCAGGGGGAAGCAGCTCCGGAGCCATCACCTCAGGGACGGCCACCATCCGCCGGACACCGTCCTCCAAAACTGGAGTGAGACGCACGCCGTCCACATCTGGCCCCATTCCCATCCGGCCCCCCATTGTGCCAGTTAAGACCCCAACAGTGCCAGATTCTCCAGGGTATGCCAGTCCACCCCAGCATCGTGAGGGCAGCGAGTTTCTGTACGGTGATGACCCATCTGCTAGTGACTACATGAGGGCTTCTCCAAAGAGGATGAGCCTCCCCGACACAGCTTGGGGATGTGGGGGAGGAGGGGCGGACAGGACTGTTTATGCCCAGCAGGCCCCCGGCATGACCGCCCACAGTGCTGAGGAGGACCCTCTGTTCGCTGCCAACCGCCACAGCCTGGTGGAGAAGATAGGGGAGCTGGCAGCCAGCGCCCACGCCCTTGGTGAGGGTCAGTTTCCCTTGTGCAGCTCACTGCCAGGGGATCCGAATCCCCAGGAGCTGTCCTCCACGCCCCAGGAGGACATGGATATGCTGGTGTCTATACGCCGGGGGGTGAAGCTCCGCAAGACAGTGACTGACGACAGGTCAGGTCCCAGGATTCTGCGGTAGCTGAGGGAGAAGGAGGCTGTGAAGAAGCACAAGTTTATTTACAAACTGAAGCTTTGTGGTGAAATACAACAGCACTCAAGTGATACATGAACTGAGGTACAAGTAATAAAGAGGATGTAACGTGTGGTGAATGAAGGCCAGTTCACAGAGCAGTGAGTGACCATGAACCGTGTCAAGTCTATTCATGTCATGTATGTATTGCGTACGTACAAAGTAATCCATATTTTTTTGTTTTTTATTCTTCTTTTTTTGTTCTGTTTTCGTCTTTGGGCTTTGTGGCTGTGCATCTCTGCTCCCTGTGTGACCAGTTTTTTCAGCCCAGTTTGTCCCTTTAGATCCAGTGATGAAGATGTCACTACCGTAGGGATCGAATGCTCTGTGTCTTTGTTCTTGCTCTTATGATTATTATGATATTGTGCATTTCTTAATTAACACAGCCACCCGTCAGTGGGAAGTGATAGGTGAAGTGCTCTGTGAGCCTGTCTGTATGTTGTGTTTCACATCATTACTGTATACATACCGTATTACTGTTTTTATTTCATAAGCTGAACAGCAGCTGTGTAAGTCATGTAAAATAGAAGCAATATGGCAGTGTTTTTATTGCTGTACTGTGCTGTCAATATATTCTGCAATTAAACAGGCGTTTTGCTGTTAAATGGCTTCATTGTCTTTGTCAGAAAAAGTAATGCGTTTATTAATAAATAGAAAATTATACATTCATGTTGTCAGGAATCCATTAGTATTTGGATGCTGACATGGCTGTAGTTATTATAAATTGATCAGTATATAACATCTAAAAGGTTTTTTTAATATTTTCCCCAGCCTTTTGAAGTTTTATTTCTTCACTACTTTCTCCATTACATATTTTCTAAAACTGAGAGTCTACTTTAACAGTGCCTTGCAGTCCTCTGTAAAGACAGATGAGGGTGCCAGAGAACCTTCACTGTGGCCAGGCTGACACAGTGGCGCCAAAAGGAGCCGTAATGGAGGACATTCATCGACATTACTGCTTCAGTGAAGACATTTGGCAGGCTGGAAGATGAATGATATGTGGGGATAAAGAAGAAGAGGAAGATGGTAATAATGTTTCACAGCCGCCAGGACAAACAACATTCATGTTACACCAACAAAACAATGTAAAAATAACCAACAGATGCTAGCATACTCATGTTTACAAAGAATTTTTTTTTACCAAAACTGTATCTGTTCACTTGAACGACTCAAATATGCCAAATAATGTAGCTTACATAAGCTGATGTAAGATTATGCTTCCAACAAAATATAGGCCACCATATAAGTAGAATTTACTCAGTGTCCATGTTCATTTAGGTCATGTTTATATAGCCTTTATTTTGCAAAGCACACATTCTTTAAATTAATCTATAAATTATTCTTCCATTATTGTTTAAATTATTGGTACTCTTAGACTGACCAGTCCAGCAGCCCAGTGATAGGACCTTTTCTCTATGTAAGGGACCTCTACTGGAGGGCACTATTGAATGATATATGATATATATCCATTTAGAACCACACTTATTTAAGATCCCACTTAACAGTAGAGTCCAAAGAATTAGATGAACTGGAAAAATGAGTTTGGGTTGAGAGTGTTTTTGAGACGAAGAATATAACTAATCTATTTTGATCTCTGACAGCTAGTCGGTCACTGACAGTTCTCACTGATTTGCAATGAAAAATGGAGGCTTAGAAGGTCTGAATAGATCCAGATATTGAAGATCAGACAGGTGGATCCAGTATTCTAACTACTGATAAGGAGCCATGGAGCTGTCTTTTGTGCTGGTCCAATGTGTAAATCCTACAGTAGATGCTGCAGGACCACCACCAAGAAATAATTTGTCTACTTGGCTCTGGAAGCCTTCAGTATTTTTTAATATTCTCCCCAAATGGGTCCCTCATAATCCTCTCAGCCTCATAAATAGCACATTATTGAATTTACACTATTAGTGCATAGCCTTGAACTGGTCCAGTAATGGGAATCTGCCTAATGGCTGGGGCTTGCTAGAATAATTAACTGAGAAAAGAACTGAGTTGAGTTTCATTGTGCATCTGAGGTAATGTTCTCGCTTTCAAAGAGAACATCATCACTGCCTCTTTTAACAAATCTCACCTCTTAGTTGGGCAGAGTGAGAGGGACACTAAGCGGTGCTAATTTTCATTCGCTTTTATTTTTCAATGACGGCCCTTTTGTGTCTTTTGATGATGTGAGAAATCTTTTAATGTGCTAGATAGTCATGATTGTTCGGGGCGTCAATGAGATACTGTTCAAATCAATGATCATTTCTAAGTGTGCTAATCACTGCGGCCACCCCAGGCTCTACTAATTATAATGTAGATGTAATAAAAGCGCTCCTCAGACAAGATGTGGCCCCGAAGATGCGCGTTTTGTTTCTATCAAAACAACGTGCATTAATCATTAAATCGTTTTTCTTGCTGCTGTTGTCATTTTATCATACTACTTGCTGAGGCTTTCAATGAGCAAACATCAGTTTTTATGAGATGTAAGTAAAAAGGCTAAAGAGACGCTCAGTAATGAGATGGTTTGGTTTTATTGTTGTTTTTTTGCGCAACTGACATTTTCAAAACCTGATGATACCTCCACTGCGTTATTATTGGTGAAGGGAAATTCTGAACCTGGTTGCACACGTTCCTCCATAATTAATACCTCTATTAATAAACAGTTATGGTTTCCTTCTTCAGCACAGCTTAAACACTACCGTAGGTGGTAGGGGCCTTACGGGGATAACAGATCAAATCTAATTAGCTGTACCTAATACATGAGGGAAATGTCTTTATATTTATCCAGTTCCTCTAACTGCTTTTTGCCGTCAGGTTGTGATGAGGGGAAATGTCCTGAGGGGCCCATATACACAGGAACACTACAGTGAACAGTACTGCAGAGCTGCTGCTCCTGTCAGGTGTGCTGGTGCTTCCAGAAATGGCTCTTTGCAGTTCTTCCAGGGGAACATGTGGGGCAGGATTTCCATAAAAGTTCACTGTTAATGCTCACAGATGGATAGCAACCAGAGAACTGGATGCTTAGTCATCCATTTTAATTGTCCTGTCATTCTTTAATAAACCTGCCTGTTTCAGCCAATTATTATATTGACTTCTGCTGTACAGTCTATTTTTATGACATTTTTAACACTCTACTTACTCTGTGGTATAAACAGAGTATTAACTGATGTCAGTGCCAAGACTTCTTAACACTACCTTCCATCATTTCCTGTTTGTGTTTGTTTTACCCCGCATTTCCAGGATGAATAACAGACAACCTGCGATTTACAGAACATACAAGTTACATTATGGGACCTCCACCCCCCTCCAATCCCATTATCGCTTGTCTCAGAGCACAAAAGCAAAGGTAGAATATTTTTAATGCTACAAGGCTACAACCTTTGCCTTCAGAAGCTACGTCGGCCTCTGAGTGAAGGCCAGGGAATAGATTCAGTCAATTATTCATTAAGTAAGCATGAAGCTTTCTAATGTTTGTCTGCTGCTTGCTTCAGTGGGATTTTTTTCTTTAATGCCCTGCAGCTCTCAGTTATCTGTTGGAGAAGAGGGATGATGAGACCGTTTCATGATTTTTATTTTTTTTTTAAACTTCATTACAGCTTTGTTGTTTTTATGCGGTGTATGTTGGCGTTTCATCTTGGTTGATAACTGCTGCAACCCTCAAGTAAACTACCCCTCACACTCTGGCCTGGCCCCGTGATTGAATTAGCCTTTGCTACAGCTATCTCCCATGCTGGCAGTCATGGTGAATTTCACCATGTGAGACAACATGATAAAAGACAGGATTTGATTTGCATTCATGAAGCACTTAGGAAGTTCAAAGGGAAGTTACAGAGCTGAATAGAGAACACAGGGTCGTCTCAGGCAGTGTCTATTTTAGATATCACAGTTTCACCTTAAATTACAATACCAGTGATGTCACATGAAGCCATTTCCCATCAATTTTGGCTCCCTGTCATATTTTGGTCTGAGGTTATTTTGGTGCAAATATTTTAAAAGGCCTTTCCCTCCTCGGGTCAGAGATTGTAAAAACACCAGTGAGCGTGGCATGGCTCATGTGTCCTGGTGACACAGCCCACAGCTTAGGCCGTGTAAGAAATACAGCGATCAACCAATATGAGCGTTGTGCTCCAGCTGCAGACTGTGATTCAAAATTGTCTGGGGGCTCACTGCCAGTTACCAGAGTTATTGCCTGAAAAGAACAGTTTACTGCAGAGAGTGGATTCGGTTAAAATGGCAGTGATGGATTGTGGTTTCAAATTGATAAGAATCTTTCAGCGGGAGCTTTGATGAATTTCCAAACTGAATACCGATAGCCTATGTATGAACAGACGAACACTGCATAGCATTGAATTACATGTCCAGCATAATATCACACCTCCAATGCATATGAATATTGATCTTTGCATGTCTAAACTAAAGGTTGACAAAATCTAGAGCGTGCAGTTGTGCTCTCTAGCCCATTATCCCCTTATGTTTTTGACAAATCAGAGCCCTACAGTCCATGTAGTAATTAGGCTTCTGACTTAGGGAGAGGTGAGGGAAACTGGAAGTGTGCAGTCTGTGGGAATTAACGGTAGCCTCCTACAGCTTGGGTTTAGAGTGCTCTGGGTGCTTGTCACACTAGCAGAGTGGGAGGGGATAGGAAGGCAATCAGGGCTACCATATTAATTTGAACTCTGGTTATTCATATAGCGCCCGCTGCAAAGACGTATGGAGCGACGTAGCATAGGCTGTCATGTTTGCAGAGTTTAACAGCCCAGATCATCGCATTTGCATTTTGATGCATTACCCACTTTTTTGTAGCGTCTTAAGCTATAAATGAACTGTGATTGTAGGAACATGTATTTTCCGTGCATTTTAGGAACTTTAGAGAGGACGTGGGTTCCGTTCCTCAGTCACGCATGGAGAAGATGAGTGCAATGCAAGATACATTTCTCCTTCACCAACAACTGTACAAGTGTTGTTGAGCAAGGCAGCACAAAGTGCTACACTGGAGCCAGGAGCCTTTTGGGAGTGTATCGGATCGGTTGATTTCCATACACAGCGTCGGTGGGAAAGGGGGCATATGTGGTTGCTCGACTTTCTCTGGACACCAAGGATGAGTGATTTTCTCGCTATCCACACTCCATTACGCTGAGAGCGGATTTGTGGCAGACGGTGTCACACAGCTTGGAAGGCTCTTGCTGTGTGTGCACAGGCTCAGCCGGCGTGGAGAGGTGGGGACCCTCCTGACCATCACGCAGGGTGGGGTTCACGGAGGAGCTCCGTCCCCGTGCGTCGCTACGCCCCCGCGCTTGGCGCTGTCCGGTTGTCTGGTGCTGAACGCTGCGTACGAATACAGCCAACTGCCTGCAGCACCGTGGACTGCCTGCACGCAGCCTGCATGGATCCAAGAAACGGATCTCCCAGGATGACAAAGCTTTAAGTTCACGGGGGTCTCCTGGAAGGACAATGTTGTGGATAACTATGAAGGCAATGTTTCTCAAGTGTTTCTCTGTTCTTTATTAATGGTTTTCTACCAACCACCCTGAGTCGCTTGGAGGTACATATAACTTGCCACCAACATGATTTGGGGTATTTTGTTATGCTGCCTTTTGACACCGGCTGCTGGATATCAAACACA